ATGGCTAGCCAGGAAAAAACCAAAAGATTATAGCCATATTTTTTTGAGAGTTGGAGAAGCTCTCAAGTGGAAGCTTCTAGATAGTGTATCAATTAGATGTTAATCAGAATGTGTCAGCATAAATACATCTTCATTTGTGGTATAGTTAATATTCAAAGGCTTAGTGGCTGGCAAAAATACTAAGAATATCAATGGTAGGGAGGATCCCTATTTTAAAAGAAAATATCTTCATTAATATTAATATGGAAAGACTTGATGGATAACTAGGGGGAAAAAGTGACATCTATTACATAAAGACTAGCCATATTTATTGAGTTGGGATGCTCTCAAGTAGACACTTGTACAAGTTCTATCTACTAGACGTTAATCAGAATGTGTCTGGGAGTTCTTAGCCCTCTTTATAATTCTGCACCCTTTATTCAAGGAAGAGGGCTAAATACCTTTCCTACATAAAGTGAAGCTCAGGCCTCTGTTGATTATCCTTACAAAAGGGACTCTGAGGTCTTCTATTTTGGAGGCTTAAACATCATCCTCTGAGGGGCCTCAAGCACTGCCATATCAGTGCATAAATAGTCCAGTTAGTCAGCAATGGAGGATGACATTCTCCCTGGCCGTGGGATGAAGAGCTTCTCTATCCCCATATACTGTGTGACATTTTGCATATTCCAGAGGATATAGGCCCTGTATCAGAGGATGGCGTTGGCCACTGGGAATGAGTTTGTCATCATTCGGGACTCAGGAAATATCTTTATTCATAGGGCGTCAGAAGAAGAAATGCCTATGGGGTTCCTATATTCTTAATTATTTGACTCCTTACTGCTTATTTATTGTGGAATAAATGATGTCAACACTACTTGGCTTTGAGTGTTCTTGCTTTCACTTAGTCCTGTGAGATGACAGAGCTAGGGATCCAGTCTCGTCAGCAGAGGGCGCTGATTTGTGGACCACACAGAGCCCCAGTGTGTTTGAGCATGTCTGGTGGGGCTGGATTTTCCAGGCTCATTTCCTGGACACTGTTTAGTGAAGCCTGGGACTTCAATGGGAACAGACTTGTCCTAATAATGGCCAACAGGCCCCCTCCGAACAGATGGGAGGTCTCTAATCTTGAGGAGGGAAGACAGCATATTTTCCACCCCATCACAGGCTTCATTTCCCCTTTCTGCACCCACCATCCTGTTCCTATGTCTCTAGACTAGAAACCTGGAGACCCACAACCTCCCTTCCAGCCTTTCCTGTCCCCAAAGACCAGAGCTAAGCTTGCAGGATGTACATAAGCTCAACTCCAGGTGCTTGCCAAGAAGGCCTTGGAAACAACATGACCATTTCTCATGGCATCCTTGTAGTGTTAGGTTTATTCCCCACCACCAGTGTTTCAATTGTCACCTCTCCCCTCAATTTCTTGGAGAACAAAAGTCAGCAGGAGACACATTGTTCTCCATCGTCCAGAAATTAGTTTTTATTGTCAGCCAAAAGACAACAAGACTGTTAGCAGCCAGAGAACCACACAGCTGCGAGTACAGCATCCCCATGCTTTGAAGTGGTGAGGGATGGGAGGGATAGTGGAGAAGGGCTGGCTGACCACAGGCTGGACATGGACTGGGAGGCTCACTGGAGGTGGAACATTGTGGAGGAAGAATGTCAAGGTGACAGTGTTCCCTGATAGTTGAGCCACAAGACTCCACAAGGACAGCACAGTGATTGAATCCCAATGCTTGAGGCAAGGCTGTGCCTGCTCTATGGGGGTAT